TGAGGACATGGAACTGATCGCCGAAGTGTATCGATTGGCCGATCGCTACCAATTGGAAGCATTGACTAAAGCTGTCGAAGAATACTTGAAGGAAATCAAAGTGACGGTCGAGAATCTGCAGCCAATCTCAAGAATCGCTTTCATGTTTGAGATGAAAGAACTGAAGTTTAAGATCAAGTTATGGATGAAAGACAATCAGAGGAAGATATTGGCCGCACATCAGGAAGCGCTCAATGAGTTGAATGCCATTACAAACAACATGTTGTTTGAGATTCTTTGTCGAGACAAGAGAAGAAGTCTTCGATCAGGAATACAATGAGCGCTTCTATTGGCCCAAAATACTCACCATTTGCCCCAATGTTTGCCTCAATTTCCAGATTATTATTAATTTTTGTATTTCAAAACTCAATAAAATTGTAACAATTATCCAAACATTTGTGTCAAATCTAATTAACACTCAAATGGTTTGAAATGAGCGCTCATTAGTGTTGAATGTCTAACACGTGAGACAACTCGTGATGAAAGCGTCCAATGATTTGAATTGGAAAACGAAAACAACATTTATTTGTAAACAAGTTTTTTGGTGAACAAGTGATGAACTGAAGTGAGTTAACCATTGCATCCATATCTTAACCATAGGTTTCTTAAGAAAGCCATCAATTTATTGGACATTACCGCCAATTGTGGTCTCCATTAGCTTTTCATTGATGGCGTGGAGATCTCACGGAAGGACTAACGCAGAGATGATTCAAAATCTGAAGAGTAATGACANATCCATATCTTAACCATAGGTTTCTTAAGAAAGCCATCAATTTATTGGACATTACCGCCAATTGTGGTCTCCATTAGCTTTTCATTGATGGCGTGGAGATCTCACGGAAGGACTAACGCAGAGATGATTCAAAATCTGAAGAGTAATGACAATCATGTGATGACTATTGTTGTGACGGATGTGTTGTTGTGTTGCAGAGAATGGTATCATAAAAGACAATGGAGTGGAGCGGGCGATGACAGGTGTAGATCGGGCTAACTATTGCCCGAATAACCCGTATATGGATTCTCCGCANCATGTGATGACTATTGTTGTGACGGATGTGTTGTTGTGTTGCAGAGAATGGTATCATAAAAGACAATGGAGTGGAGCGGGCGATGACAGGTGTAGATCGGGCTAACTATTGCCCGAATAACCCGTATATGGATTCTCCGCAGGGCATCGGTTATGCGGTCACTATTAGTGCCCCTCATATGGTATGCCATTCAGTGGTTAACTATTTATGAATTGAATTGAATTGATTGTATGGTTGCATGTATTGAAAGCACGCACACGCGCTCCAACTTCTTAAGGATCACTTAACTGATGGTATGTTTGTTTCTCAAACTTTTCCATTACTTATAATTATTTAAATGGCATTTATTTTGTATTCAAAGGGGCGAAAGCACTGGACGTGGGCTCAGGTTCTGGTTATTTGACTGCTTGTATGGCATTAATGGTATATATTATGCCATATATTCTGAGTTCTGTTAAATTGTTTGTTTATTGGACTGAAAGGTGGGTCAGAGAGGAATGGCTGTAGGAATCGATCACATCCCAGAACTCGTCAATTTGTCGGTCGAAAATATAAGGAGAGATCAGCCAAACCTTATTGAGTCAAAGAGAGTCAAAATGATTGGTTAGAAAATTCACAATATATTTGTTTAAAAAGTTTACTTAAATTATGTCTGAAAAATAGTTGGCGACGGAAGACAGGGTTATCCACAGGAAGCTCCTTATGATGCCATTCATGTCGGTATGTATTGAGTTGATTGAGACATGTGTTGCGATATTGTTTAAAACTAAACCGTAATTGCATTGACATACAGGCGCTGCCGCTCCCACTCTTCCGCAAGCCGTACGTTAGTTTAGTTTTAATGCTAACCATTATTAATGCCTTTTTGGATCAGTTGGTGGATCAGCTGAAGATTGGTGGTCGACTGATTGTGCCGGTCGGGAGGGAAGGCTATAATCAATCACTGGAACAGATTGACAAACTGGCAGACGGTTCAATCAGACGCGAGTCACTGATGGGTGTCGTATACGTGCCCCTCACTGATAAGGACTCTCAGTGGCCCGGGAGGTGAATCCATTATAAATACAACATTCAATTATTTATGATTTTTATGATTAGTTATGATTTGTTTTATATTCAATTTTAACACATTTTCACATTTTATTATTTCTTTTTGGAAAAAGAGTAAAATATTAATTGAAATGTTTTTAGTTTTTGACACAAAATAAATTATTTAAATTTTCATGAATGAGTTGTAAAACTGAACCTTTCAATAATAGGGACTGTTTTGAGTGCTTCTAATCTGTGAAAATCATTGCTCATTGAATTCTTCACTCAAACTTCACTAAAGATCATAATAACTAACACAAAACTATTCACTCATTCATTCATATTTGAGAAAATAACAAAAATTGTGTTCAAAAATATAATAAAATGTATTAATAATATTTATACGGAAAAGGTATAGAATTTACAGAATAGTGAATACTCTGAGAAATTGATAAAATTATAATATTTAATTTGTAAAATGATTTGATGTTAGAGTCTAAACGTGAATTCATGAAATACTATGCATGGAATTCATTGCTGTAATAATAATATACAGTAAATGCATGAATTTGTACGATATATTGCATATTGTGGTTTACTAGATATATTTCAACATGATTATTGATTACTGAATATTGATAATTTGCTAACAATAATTAATGCAAGTAATAGTTATTTTTACTACAATTCCATGTAATTTGTTCCCTAATGTCCAACGAATTATATTACTATCCTATCGAAAGTTTCTTATATTTAAAATGTAAACACATGTAAATTAATATTCATTTATGTCTCAACGGTTATACAAAAATAAGTCTATAATTTTACAAACTTGTAACTAATTTGTGAACATTTTATTTAAATCTCATACCAATAGAACTTTTTATTGAGTTTTAGAACTAACGGATGTGTTTATAAAGCGTTTGTAAAGTAAATGTACAATAAAGTTAAATGTTTGTATGAATTATTAAATAAAACAAAAAACATTACTATTTAAACCATATAAAAATGTTTGCCATATTATTTGATGTCATATACAACAGCGTCTAATTTGAACACATTTACTGATCATTTAATATTAATGATCGCTAAATAATGTCAAGTTCTATGGAGACATACCCTGGCTTTCCCCACATTAAAGCATTATTAAATTACTTATAAATTACTTAATTTACTTATAAGTGAATTATTCAAATTAATAGTCACTTTATTTGATTAGTGCTTATTTGGAGGAATGGGAGGCATAGCCAGCGCTGTATAGGATATTCAAATGTTTATTGAATGTCGAGAGGAATAGACATTTCTATTCAAAGATGAGATCATTTTAAGGTCATGTCTAAGGTTTGTATTAATTGAATATTATATTCATTAATTTGAAGGATAAGAAAGTTATTAAATGAAAATAGAAATAAGTTTTATCCAATTTTGTCAAAATTGTCGTTTAAATACAAATATTTATGATTTGGTATCTTTTGATTGAATCAGTGACAGTCTGACAGGTGCTGTCGAAGGGCTGTCCCTTTAAACACATCACTAATTCTGTTTGTATTTGTAAAAACATTTAAATTAAATGTTTATAACTGTTTAATATATTAAATAAAACACAATTATATAACTAAAAGTATGTTAAGCCAAAGTTTGTGTGCCTTATAGTGCATTGTATTGTTATTTGACAAGTTTTATGACAATTATATAAATATATCTGTTTTTGATTAGAGATTACGATATATTTTTGTCAAATAATGAGGAAATTGAAGGCAAAACACACACTGTGTAGAAGATATTAAAAATATCCACTTCTAAAACTCGTATAAGAAGTTTGAACAAAGTTTTGAACAAACTTTTCGGTGTGTATTGATTGGTATGAATAGTGTATGAAATACTGGAAATATAGTATGGATTGTGAGCTTTCAGGTGGGGTTGTGTTGGGAAGTGAAGGCTATTGAAGGCAAGTGTTGGCAAGTGTTGGGGTCTATAAGAGTGTGGATGGAGTGGTGTTGAGAACGCATGCGATTCTCAATACAGGTTTTGCTCGAAGAGTGTGTGAGAGAGAGCTCTAGAGAGGCATAGGATTGAGCAGTGGATGAGTGTGTCTCACAAGGAGTGAGTGCTTTGGACTCAATGGCCGACAACAGTGTTATGCCATCAATGATGTGAACGAATACAACAGTGACTGCAATACTGGATATACAGTAAACATTGATTGAGTGAATAGTAGTTTAGAGTTCA